AGTTCATTAAACCACTGTCCCTGCAAGCCAGGTGAGACATGCCAAACTCAATCCACCAGAAAAGCACGAGGAGAGGATGAAACCTCCCTTAGGATTATTCAAGCTGGATCCAGACCAGAGCCCAGGTGCCCTGAGACCTTTTCCCCAAACCTGTTCTAAGAGCCTGAACACTCTATTAACACTTGCTCTGTATGCAGAGACAGACAAGAACAAGTGCAGCCTCGTGGCTTGGAGTTTGGAGGTCTCTAACAAGCGTTTAATGCCCAGTTCTGAAGCAGCTGAGAGTGCAGCTCTGCCTGTGCAAGAGAGGATTTGACCCCAAAGGAGGGGAGAATGCAGTGTCCCTGCCTGGCCCGGTGTGGGAATGAGCTTCTCCAGCAGTTCAAATAAACCACTTGATAAACTCACTTGATAAACAAACACCAGCAGCCTGGCAAATGCTGCTGGGAAACAAAACCAGGCAGTTTGAGTCTGCAGCAGTGACACAAGTGGCCTGTCCTGGAGCTCTGCTGCTCTGTGTGTCCCCGAGGAGCAGGAACCCCCCGAGCAGCTGCAGGGGTTTGGGTGTGCCTGAGGGATGCTGAGAGTCCTGGCAAGGCTCTGGTCAGGCACCATCTCCACTTTCAGGCTCCAGAGTCTCTGACCTGCCCCCCAAAGTCTTCTTGTGTCTTTCTCTCCTTCCTAGAGGGAAGAAAAGCAGGTTGTGAGCTCCTCTTTCCCCCCGAGAGCACGAGGTGGGTGCTGTCCTGAAGACCCACAGACTGAGGCAGGAATTTGCACAGTGGAGAGACTTTTCTCCTGCAGTTCTGCTGGGAGACACAGGGAACACAGATCCTGGTGCTGGAACCTGCAGTGACTTTGGCAGAGCAGGTGACTGGGGGTGAAGACAAGCCTGGGAAGGTCCCCCAAAGCCTGCATCAGTGGAAGGTGTCTTTCCTTGGCTGGGTTTGGCTCTCAGATCTCTGGAGTCCCACGCTGCCTGCTCAGGGAGGGACCCGGTGGCCACAAGCCCCAGGCCAGTAGCCACAGCCACCCTTCCTCCCACATCACAGCACCTCTGGCCACCTGCCACAGCCTCCATGGGTATTGTAAATGCAGGCAAACCCAATGGGAAGAAATGCTGATGTCTGACTCAATTCAGAAGGCTGAATGATTTCTTTATTATAATTATGCTAAAATACATCAATATATTATATAAAAGGAGGATAATAAAACTACATACTACTTTCTCTGATTCTATCTCTAACTTATACTTAACTCGTGACCCTCTCTGAGAGCCCAGCCCCAGGTGGGTTGGATTGGCCACCAGCCTCAAACTATCCTCACCAGAATCCATCCCAGCACTCACCCCAGGGAAACAATTCTCCAAACACATTCCACATGGAAAAGCAAGGAGCAGAAATAGAAATTGTTTTCTCTTTCATTTCTCTCTGTGCACCTCTATGAAAAATCCTGAGAGGGACAGAAATGTGCTTGCCACACATGTGCATCTAGAGATGGAACCCAGACACAATCCATGAGCTTCTATTATTTCTCAGTCAGATTTTGCATTTATTCTTTCTTTAATTTGTAACAAAATGCAGCCAGGCAGGAAAATAGATTTAATTTTTTTTCCTAACTGTGCAGGAGGGCATAAAACAGTAGGGGAAGCACAGCAGGTTTTGCTTTTGTCTCCCATCAGATAATTCAGGGTTATGGACAAGAAAAACTGGAACCACTTAGAAAAAAAATCCTAGAGGCTGTGATTTCCAAATTCACTCACTGGGCCCAAGTGCCCAGTTCTGAGTGTGGCCCCAGCTCCCAAAACCTCTCAGTGCTGAGGTCCACGTGCACCTGGTTCCCTTTGCCCCAAAGGGATGGTAATGGGGTGGGAGTGTGGATGGAAGGAGAAGCTGCTAATTGATTTATCTGACGAACACAGCATCCCTCCCTGCCAAATTCAGCCAGGACTGAGAGCTGAGGCCAGGCACCCCTAAATGATCCCCTTGGATCAGCCTGCCTTCCTCAGGAGCCCAGGCTGAAGGGTGTTGGCATCACCCATGGGTGCCGAGGACAGGAGCAGCAGTTTGCCAAGCCAGCTCTCCCAGCCAGCACAGGACCTTCCAGCATCCCTGCACCAACCAGATGTACAAGGCAACGAGCTGCCAAAATTATCCGAATGTGCTCCCCCATGATGATTGAAGTCCTTCCTGGGAAGTGTGAGGCTGAAGGTGAGCACAGTATTAGGCAGCTTATTAAATTAATAGTGCATTAAAGAACTCATGGGAGGTGGAAGGGAGGGGAAAGGGAAAGAGAAGGTTTGTAACATCACAGAAATATCCTGGCTTACCTTCTGGCATCTTCAAGAGACTGGAAATGTGGGACTGCATCCAGCTGCCTTCTCTGGGGCAAAATTCCTTCGGCTTCTGTGGGAGGTTTTACTCAAATAAGGATTGCAGGATCAGACCTGTTATTGTCACTGCAATTAACATTTAGATCCACATCTAACATGAACTGTTACAGCCTGGTTAGGGAGAAATTTAATTTGCTCTAAACAGCTTGATGGGAGAGGAGCATGAAATGTCCTGGTTATGGTAATTTCATGTGTTGGGAGTCTGCAAAGGTGGATTTGCAGCCCTGGCTCTCGTAACCCTGGGATCTGCTGCAGCCAGGGAGATGAGTCTGCTTTGGGATGGGACTTTGGGGTGAGATCCCCACCCCTGTGTTGGTGATGGACACACTCAAAGCCCCAAAGGCCTTGGGCACCCAGCGGGGTGGGGACAGGCAGGTGAGAGCCCAGCTCTGCCCCGAGCTGTGCTTGCCCTTATCGGAGAGATGAGCTTTAGTTTGTCTATTAGGAAACTGATTTCTACCTTTGAGCTGTCAGTCTGTACACAGATATCCATGAAATCCACGATTTTTGTACTCTTAGAGACTTTGAACCCAACTTTCTTTTATTTCCTTACGTATTTCCTTTTTTCCTCTTTTTTTTTCCCAGGAGTGGATGTAACTCACTCTTAAAAAACTGACTTGGAGATGAAACTTGGCATTTAAGGTCCCGGCCCGGGAGCAAATGAAGTTACCAGTTATAAACACACACCAAAATCTGTTTGGACATGCTGGAATTACAGGAGCAGAGGATTAAAAGGATCCGAGACGCTTTATTTAGTTTTAACTTCTGCAGCTCCACCTGAGTGTCAGTTTGCAGCCGCTTGCCTGACACAAGACGGATCCTTTTTGGTGTTTTTGCTCTTCAGGTGGATTGCAGTGGGTTTGGAATTTTTATTCTAAAGCAGATGGACTGGTGAAGAGGTCCCAGATTGGGATCCTGAGGTGCTGCCAGCTGTGTACCCCTCATCCAACCATCCCCACGTGGCTCTGCCCTGCAGGAAGGGCAGGGTTTTGTGTTCTCCTACAACAGAAGAGTTGTAGGAGAAATCCAGGTGTTGGGGGCCTTTCCAGAGCCTCTCCTGTGTGGCTGGAGACCCCACAGGGACAGGCAGGAGATGGAGCGATGAGGGCCCGCAGGGATACGGCGGGTGGCAGATAAGAGGCCTCACTTTTCCAGGAGGAGCTGCTCGCTTGCTAATATTTCTGGCACGAGACACTTGGCCAATTAAAGAATAAATCAGGGCAGATAAGGCTGGGGAGCAGCGTTCCACGGACCTGCCACACAGGGAGGTGATGGCAGAGCTTCTGGGACATCCCTGATTGTCCCAGCTACCCCACTGCAGGAGAGCTGGGAGCTATCTGTGCCAGCAGAACACCCCCAGCAGCTGTCCCTGGTGTCACCCCAGCCTGCCTGGTGTCACCCCAGCCTCGCCGAGTGCCCAGCCTTGCTCCCCAGCGTGTGTGAGCAGCTGCAGCGTGGCCCCAGCCTGTTTGTTATGCATGTTACGGCCGTGGAAAGCGAGGGTCGATAGGATGTTTAATATGCTTCATGCATAGCGGAGTCGCTCTGGTCCATCAAGCCACTAATACACATTCTTACAGGGCTGAGTATCATTTATTAAACCTGGAGGCCTGCCTGGGAAGGGGGGCCGGGGCTCTGGGAAGCAGCCAGCGGTGCTGCTGGGGTGGCACCGGCGGTGCCCAGGAGGTGAGAGTTTGCACAGGAGCCACACACACACACACACACACACACACACACACACACACACGAGTTATTTGTTGTGCCTCACGGATGGGAAATGGAATAAATCGCGCTCTGAGCGCTGCCCGCCCTGTGACACACCCCGGGGAAGGGCAGCGGGCTCGGGGGCTCGCTGGATGCTCGGGGCTGGGCACAGCTGGCATTGCTCAGCATCACTCCAGAACCCCCTCTGCTCCCCTCCCGAGGCTGCCACTGCAGCGCTACGCACATCTTATTATTTTTTTCTCTTTCCCCCTTCTTTTCCCTCTTTTCTCCTCTCCTTTTCCTTCTTTCCCCTCTCTTTTCCTTTTATCTTTCCTTCTCTTTCCCCCCTCTCCTTTCCTTCTCCCGTTTTCCTCTCCTTCCCCCTCTCCCCATTCTCATCTCCCCCGTTTTCCCCATCTCTATTTACCCCTTCTCGCCACCTTTTTACCCTCTTATTTTTTTCCCCTCCTCCCTTTTCTTTTTCCTTTCCCCCCCTCTATTTCCCCCCATTTTCCCCCATCACTTTAAGAAAAAAAAAACCAAAAAAACCCACCAAAAAAATCCTAAAAAAAGAAAAACCCATCAAGCCAGCAGCGCGGCGGGCCGGCGGGGCGGGCGCGGGGCGGCGCTGCTCGGCTCGGCCGGGCTCGGCTCGGCTCGGCTCGGCTCGGCTCGGCTCGGGGCGGGCGCGGCGCCGCCGCTCCCCCTGCGCGGGCCCCGGCGCGGAGCCGGGCGCGCCCGGCGGAGCCGAGCGGCGGAGTTGCGTTCTCGGGAGTTTGCCACAACTCCGCGGCCTCGGCTGCGGAGCTGCAGCTTCCCCGCTGCCTCCTCCTCCTCCTCCTCCTCCCTTCCTCACTCCTCCTCCTCCTCCTCCTCCTCCCCGTGGGTGTTTTTTTTTTTTTTTTTTCCTCTCCCCTCCTCCCCTCTCCCCCCGCGCTGATTTCCCTCCCCTCCGCCCGCCCTGCCTGTGTGTTTTCGCCGCCGCGCTCGCCGAGCCCCTTGGCATGAGTTAAGCACCAGCCATGGACACCAAACACTTCCTGCCGCTGGGTGAGTTCTGTTCCGAGAGATTCTCCCTTCCTACCGCGGGGGGTGGCGGGTGCTTCGGGACGATAAAATCACCGCCTGTCCTGCCGCTTCCCCCGCACCCACCCCCGGCTCCGCTGCCCCTTCCAGCGGCGCGCACCGGGGGCCGGCGGGCGGGGGATGCGCTCGCCCCTTCCCCGGGGAGCGCCGCGGCGAGCGCGGGCCGGCCCCGGCCCCCGGCCCCTGCCTTGGAGTTGGTATTTTTGTTTTGGTTTGCTGTTGTTTTTTCTGCTGTTGTTGTTTTTTTTTTTGGTTTTTTTTTTTGCCGTAACGCAGCCCCGGGGATGGCGGGCCCCGGCCGGGAAGCCGAGCCGGGCCGAGCCGGGCCGGGCCGGTCGGGCAGCGGCCCCAGCAGCGGCGCTTTGAACGGGGCAGCGGCAGCCGGCAGAGCCCCCTCCCCTCCCGGGGCCGGCTCTGCTTAGGGCTCGGCAGCGCTTCCCCCTCTTGCCTTTCCTCTCGGTTTATTTTTATACTCTAATTTTTGACTTTTCTCCGTTTTTTTTTATTTTTTTCCTCTCCCCGCCGCATCCGGGGCGCGCAGCCGGGCAGGGGGAGGCAGCGCCCGGCCCCTCCGCTCGCATCTCCGGCTCCCTGACCCGCCGCGGTTGGGACCCTCCTGCCTTTTTGTTTAAATTTTTTTCCCCCCCTCCCTCCCTCTCCTCCTTTTAGCTGCGTTTTAAACCCTATTTCCAGCCGGAGTTTGCCATCGTTTCGGTGACTGAGTCAAGTCCTGGCTTGTAAGGGCGAATGCCTCCTGCGTCTCGCTTCCAGGAGAAGTGATATTGCAGAGCTCAGTGCTCGGGGTGGGGGGAAGAAAAGTTTGAGCGAAGTCGCCTGGCGCCAAGTCCGGGCGAGGAGGAAGAGGGGCGAGCGCTGCCATCCCTGTCCCCGCTCAGCCCGCTGGCTCCCAGCCTCCGGCCGAGCGAGCACGGCCAGCGAGACCGTCCCCTCTGCCTTCTCCGGGCTTCAAATCTCTGCCGATGCTCTGTTTTGATTCTTTCTTCCTCTTGGTTTTTTGTTTTTTTCATTCAGTGTTTTTTTTTTTTTTTTTTTGCTTGTGTTGTTGACAAATCGCAATTTCAGTCGTTCCTTAAAAAGAGCAGAATAAATACAAACATCACAATGTTTCCTGCAATCCCAGCCCGCTGAGAGGCTTTTTCCAGGGCTGTGGTGGTCTGGGGGCTTTGGCAGGAGAGACCCTGGCCATGTGGGCTGGCAGAGCTCTAGGTGGCATCTCCGTGCCCCCAAAAATCTCAGTTTCAGAGTGCCCCTTGTTGTCTGGGCTGGGAGATGCTGCTGGGGCCAAAAGCATCTCACCTGCAGTGTGTCCCTGGTTCCAAATCAAACCAGCTCCTCTTGGTTGTGTCCAGTGCAGTTGTTGGGGCTCATCCCAGCAGAAGGAGCCTCTCTTATTCACTGGAGTGCTTTAACCTTCGGGGTGGCTGTTTGGGGGATTCACATTTCCTTGGATGTTGTTGTGGAAGACAATCCAAATCTGGGTTGATCCGGGCGGGCTCAGGCCTCTGTGTATGTTAGCTGTGTTTTCTATCGGTCCTGAACTCTCCTGTTGTGCTGTAAAGGCTAAAAAATACATTGTGTTATTAGTCAGGTTGGTTTGAGGGGGTAGGAGGGGGAGAGTCTGTGACTGCTGGCTCCGGGAAGGGTTTTCACGCTGCTGCAAGTGGAAAACAACTGATTTATCTGCTCATTTAGAAATGTGTGCGTGGTGGGGCTGCGCCACACACTGTGCAGCACACCAGGAACATCCCCAGGAAAAACAGGGCAGCCCCCCAGGACCTGCTGGGGGAGGCTAAAACATCTCGTCCTTGTCTGAGGAGAAAATTCCGTCTGTCTGTGGGGGCTGTTTGGGGTGTGTGGTCTGGGATTGTGCTGCTGGAGGAGAGACTCCCAAACTTTATGTGCTGGTCTTTGGTTATTGATTATTGGGAAAAATCCCTTTGGCTGCAAGGGGAGTGGTTGCTGCAGATGTTGGAGAGGGAGATCTTGGTCCTGCTCTGGGCAGTGCAGGCAGGTTGTGTCTAAAAGCTCGGGAGCAGTTTGTGGGATTGAGGGGAATGTGAGCTGAGACTGTCCCAGTGAAACCAGAGCTGGATGAGCCATGGGGACTCTTTAGAGGCAGGATGGTCCAAACCCCACCAGGTCCCAACTTTGCAGGGTCCCAGGGTGTGTTTCACTAACCCAATCTCATGCCATTTTTGGGAGCTGGTGCTGGAAATACCCAGGGGAGAAAACCAGCCCAGCTTGTGGGATTTGTTTCCCTGCATACCAGTACAGGCCTGAGCTGGGGAACAGCAGCAACACGGCCAAAATTCTACCCCATTACTGTGTCCCCATCAAAATCTAAGCTCAGTTTGGCCCAACAAGGCCAACCTGGTGGTTCCTGGCCAAGTCCTGCCCGTGGTTAGACTTAGATAAGGCTGCTGATGTCATGGCTGGAAGTGTGGCCAGCACTGGGCACTTTTAATAGTAGTATCTCATTTTCCTGCTTCTCTGGAGAGCTGCTGGCAGATGCCAGCCAGAGGCTCCCCATGAGGACAGCATGTCCCCGGGCATTTCCCAGGCTGGCTGCTGTCACCCTCTGCCATCCCAGTGCCAGGACAACCTGCAGCCTGGCACGGGGGCTGTGGGCACAGGTACCTCCACAGCCTTGGTGGGGATTAAAACACCTCGGGGTCCAGCAGATGCTGCCTTGGAGCCATCTGGGGTTAGTCCTGCTTTTACTAGGCTTAGCTCGCTCAGGGCTGTCCAGCTTTTGTTCCTCTCTGTTGTGCCAGGTCTCCAGGAGGAGGAAAACGTAGGAAAAATCCGTGGTGCAAGTGCTTTTGGGGCTGTGGGGATCACCTCTGGTGGGGTGCACGAGGTCTGGCTTTCACGGGGCACTGATGTGCAAACCAAGGACTCGTTTCTTCAGGTGGCTGCTTGTTCCCTTAGTGCTTTATTTTCACTTTGCCCATTGCCTGGGTATCTCTGGGGAGGGAAAGAAGGCTGGTGGGTTCAGGGAGCTCTCCCTCAAGGCTCAGCCTTGTAGGGGAAGAAACAGTTAATGGGTGTCTGAGACTGGCGCTTCCCTCCGGAGGTCACTCCAGCGGGTTGTAACTGCGTTGTAACTGGGTTGTAACCTCTGTGTGTCCCTCTTCCCACCCCGCAGCCGTGCCAGGGCCGGCTGCAGCTGCTCAGGATGTGGGGTGAGGACTGTCCGTGCCGTGCTCGGGGCTGGAGCTGCAACACTTCCGAGGAAAACAGCAAAAACAACCAAGAGCATCCATCAGGCACCTTCATCCCTGTGGCCAGGATGAGCCTGGATGCTGCAGGGAGCCCCTCGGTGGGAACCTCTCTTTGGGCTGAGACCTCACCACGATGCTCAGTGCAGCTCTTGGTGCCCTCAGGAATGGGCAGCTGATGTGACAACCTTCAGGGAGGAGAACTGAGAGATGTGGGAAGTGTCTGAGCATCCCAGTGAGGAAGGAGGAATCCTCTGCCCCACATCTGGTTGGCTCCGTGGGGCTCCTTGGTGGGAGCAGGAGATGAAGTCTGGTTGTGCCCAGACTGGAGCCTCGTCTCACAGGGACATTTCTCTCTCTCTCAGGATTTTTCATAGAGGTGCACAGAGAGAAATATCCCTGTGACAGGCTCGACCTCTCCTCGTTGACATATGCAAAACAAGCTGGGAAGGAATTTTTGCCTTTTCCAGAATCTGGGCTGTGACAGTGAAATAAATCCTCAGAGCGTCCCTGAGTTTATTCCACGTCGTCCTGCTGTGTTGGAGGGAGCATTTGTGTTTCTCAAATTTAGGGTATTTTATTTATTTAAAAGAGAGCGGGGGAGAAAGCCACAGAATTTGAGTTATTCATTGCAAATATTATTATTGGCGTTTTGCTCCTGTTGAGGGGGAAAAAAAAAACCAACGAGGGGGGAATCAAAACATTTCACTGGAAAATACACCCTGGCTTTGTCCCACCCACATCTTCAAGGCAAAAATACATATTTATTAAGAAATGGGTTAAAAACCTTTTTGTTGAGTATTGTTTTCTGGGAGCAGGGGAGGGTTGCCATATGCTAGAACCCTGCCACTGGGCTGAATTTTGGATTTTTTAGGGTTTTTTTGTAGGATGGCTGTGGGTGCTGCAGGGCTTTGGGGTGTGCATTGGTCATGCCTTGACTATGGGCTGTGTGTTCATGTGAGCATCCTGGTGCCTTTTCCTGGGGATTGTGTGTGCTCAGAGTATTCCCTGAAGCTCCCAGCTGCCTGAAATCCCCAAATCATTCCTGCTATAAATAACCCAGCAGTGAGACAGCAGGAGTTGGTAGCCTTTGGCAAGGGATTTAACAGGGGTGTGGTGATGGTGTGGGGACACTGAGGGGTCCCTGTGCCCCAGCTGGGCTCTTCCACTGAGCCAAAGCCTGGGATCCCTCAAATCCCTGCTGGCCAAGTGCTGCAGGGACCTTCCTTGCGAGCTGGGCAACCTAATTGGGCTCTAATTAATCCTTCTCTGGCTTTGATCCCCAAGTTGGGGAGGGATCTGCTGTGGGGAGGGAAGGAACTGAGGCTCTCCTCGCTCTGACCTGTGGTGTGGAGGGCATTTCAGAGGGGTGCTGAGGAATCTGGGGACTCAGGAGGGATGCTCAGAAGTATCAGGGATGCTCAGAAGTGTTTCAGGGATGCTCAGAAGTGTTTCAGGGATGCTCAGAAGTGTCAAGGATGCTCAGCACTTGAGGGATGCTCAGTTTGCACGGGATCCATCCCAGCACTTCCCTAATTGCTTCCTAAAAGGCCCAGGTGGGCTCTCCAAGTCAGTCAAGCTACAAAGCAATAGGGGAGGCAGCCTGGGTGGTTTTATTTTAATTGATTTTGTCAGGAGTTGCTGTATTTTATTACATTTAAAGACTAGACTCTGGAATAACTTTGAACGTTTGACACGCACACAAAAAGCAGCTTTCTGACATTTTCCTCTTTGCTTGTCTTTTATTTTATTTCTCCCCTCTCCTCCTCCTCAAAGGGAAGCGTGTGCCTGGAGGGAGGACAGAGGAGGAGGAGGGAGGAGCGGTTGTGTCTCTCCAAAGGCTGCTCGAACATCAAGGCAGCGCGAAGCAGATGAAATAATACTGCAAATAAGGATTTAAAAAACCCTACAGAAGGATCCCCACACATGCCAGCCGGCTCAAACTGCCAGAAGATTTTCAGACAGAAGCAATTTAGCCTGGGAAAATGCTCTATTGTTGAGATGGAAACTGGCTGTGAGAACTTGCCTTTCTGACAAGGTTTAGCGTAGAAAAAGCAAAGCAAAGTCAAGGAAATCAACCTGAGTTTTTATTTAGAGGGGAGGGAGCTTTTCAAAATGGAGGGTGTTTTCTGAGATAAACAGGGAACAATTCCCTTGTGAGAAAGGGAAGAAAGGGCTCAAATTAAACCCAAATGCAGCTCCTCTCCTTTGAAATTTTGTTTAACGTGGAGTTAAAAAATAATCCTGTTCAAACAGACCATTCGTAAGCATGAGATGCTTGGGCTTTTTTCTTCCTCCCCCCGCTTTCTTTCCCTTTTCCCTCACTGTGATCCACAATAAAAGTTCCAAGGTTGCACCTTGGGGCTGTAATTCTGGTCGCAGCTGTGCCCGTGCCAGCTCCTGCCTCTGCACATCAGGAGGGGATGGATGTTGCCTCCAAAACTCCTCGTCTGCCCAGATGAGGCAGATACAGGGTGGGAAACTGAGGCACGCGGGAGCGTCGGAGCTGGGAACGGGGCCCGGAGCGAGGGCGTGGGGTGGTTGTGAAAGCTGCCAGCCCTGCAGAGCTGATCCGTCTGGGATGGCAGCTCCCCAGAGCTCCCCTGGGCTCTGCAGGGTCCAAACCCCCACACCCCCAAAGCTGCTTTTTGGCCCAGGAGCAAAGGAAAGCGCCCAGGTGGGGTTTGGGGGTGTGCAAAGTGCAGGGCAAGGAAGAAACACCCTAAAGATCCTGAAGATTCACCCAGTAGGTTGAGGGCTGGCATCCCCTCCTGCTCCAGCACGAGATAATCCCTCACACTGTGTTCATTGCTCCTTCTTCCAAAACCTTAGGGATTTGATTTTTTGGTCAAAAACTTGGTTTTTTGGTCAAAAACGTTGTTTTTTGGGCCATGAGTGGAGGTTGGTGGTGTGTTTGGCTTTGGGTCTTGTCGGAGCCGTTCCCTGGATCCCATCAGCTGCAGGATCGCTGCAGAGGCAGGAGATAAAAGGGCAGCAGTGGTATTGGGGACCAATAAAATGGTAATGGGATTCCCAGCTGGCTGTTACTTTTCATGGGCTCGTCTTTTGTGGAGTTTTGGCTTTCTTCAGCTTTACAGACTTGGGGGAAAAAAAAAAGGAAAAAATGCAGAGAGAGGGAGCTGGCGGGGGCTCCTGAGATTTACAGCCCCCTCAGCTCCTGGAGCAGATCCTTTGTGCTGCCAGGAGCAGACTAGGGAGGGATGCCCCATCTCGTTTCAGCTGGGCGGGAAGGCAGAAACATTTGATTATTGTTTTTCCATTTCTGGCTGACAAGTGAGTGCTGGAGGAGAGTTGTTTTGTCTCTTTCTCTCTCTTTCTCTCTCTTTCTCTCTCTTTCTCTCTCTTTCTCTCTCTTTCTCTCTCTTTCTCTCTCTTTCTCT